AAAGCAAGAGCAATTCCTGTTCTTTCCCTCCCAATTTGCACTTTCAAAATAAAAAGTATTTTTATGGTTTTATTCTTTGGCAAACATTTTACCTCTAGACACCCACCTTTAAAAAAATCTGGCAGTATTCAGACTGATTTGGCAAGCTGCACTCGGTAGAGGCTTAAGGACTGCTACAAGAGTATGTTGTGAACTAGACAATCCGGTACATTGTGTGAACCGTGTGCATGAGCTTCTATGAGATCTGCCCACATTACGCCTGGTCCTGTGCTTCATCTCCCTTGCTTTCTGGAATAGAAAGCTTGTCCTAATACATCAGTTAAGATGCCTTTTTTTTTATGTCTTTTTTTTTCTTTTTTTCGTCCTGGAAGAATCTTAATATGAGTACGAATCCATGGGAGGTAAAGAATATGATCCAGAACAGAGCACAGTTAGGAGCCTCAATGACTGATTTTTTAGGAAAAAAAATAATTCTGTGTTTGTCAAGAAGTTAGAAACAACTTCTTTTGGATTGCAGACAAAAGATTAGCAACTAAATGAAGTGGCTTTTTAAATATTTTTATTATCTAAGATCACTTTCTATGAAGCCTACCCAATAAAAATCCATTGCTCCCAAAGGCAAGGAAGCAGAAGCCTCATGGGGATGTAGAGTAGTTGTAGTTAATCAAAGGTAATGGACATGTCTGCCATGCATGGAATGCTAAATGCTGGGAGAATGGCAAAATAAGCAAGAGAGATTGCTCTTGGGAGCCTACTGTTTCTTCAATAAAGGACAGTTACACTCCATAAAAAATTCATTTAATTTTACTCCCTCTTCCTGAATCCTATATCATAGTCATTCAGGGCATAAGTTAAGGGATGATTGTTCTTGCTGCTAGAGCTGCTAACTTGCAGGGGTTCTGGGAAATCAGATGCTATTGCTGCTTCCTATTGTACAGTGCCACCACTGCTACAATCAAAACTCAGCTGTAGCCATAGAATATAAAGCCAGAAAAAATGTGATTTTTCAGGGACGCTCTACCTAACCAGCTACTCTTAATTGACCATGTTTCTTCCCTTCCCTATAATTCTCTTTGAGCTTTATTCTTTTTATCATGTCACACAGGAAGCTGATTCAATTTTGATTACTCTGACGTTTGGCTTGGAGGTCTTTAAGCTAGTAAGTCTGTCAGATAAAATTACATCCAGGTTTTTCAATGCATGATGCATTTTTCACTTGGAAATGTTGTGCAGGTAGAAAAAGAAGGTTTTACACATTCATCCATGATTTTTGCATGTCCGATGCAGATTTGGAGCAGTGATTCTTACTAGGCTGTGGAGAGTCTGGAAATCCCTGTGAACATTGTCATGTTGGTACAATACAGTGGTCCTGTGATGCACCATAGCAGACTGTGCAGATATTCAGGGCATCCGTGCATGCAAGGCATCTATGCAAGTCCAGTATTTCCAAAGCTCCATACAGCCAAGAGTTATGTTCCTGTGATTCCTTCCACTACTCCAGCACATGTGGGTGAGCCTGGTTTGGATTAGCCTGTTTTCACCATCAGAATAACTATTCAAAGAAATGTTTGTTTTTATTATGGGATATGTAAGATCTGGAAGTCAGGTTGCGTTTTGGGAAATTTTGCAGTACTTTCAAATTGTCTTCATGTTTTACTAAAATCTGTGTCCTTCAGGAAACATATTTGCATTTAGAGAATATTATAACAGTATTCTCAAGAAGACTGGACTTTTTAATGCCATCACTTTTTATTTTAGTGAACCTATCTTCTATTTTTCCAGTTTGATTGTACCTCTACTGCTGATAGCAAAGCTAAATACATGGGCAAATATTCTCAAAAATGGATGTTGATTTTTGGGTGTCTAACTAGATATGTTGAAAGGGCATGGTGTTTCCAAAAGTGGCAGCTCAGACATTTCTGAGAAATCCATTTCCTGTGGAAAGTTTAGGATCATAATACAACAATGATTTAACATCTCAGCCCAAGCTGCAGTGATGACACGTTCATGTAATTCATTAGCATACGCACCTTAGTCATTCTGCTTCTAGGTACTAGTAGTTACACTCTAACAGCTGATTAATTGATTGCACACATTTATTTGGTTATTAAAGTCCATTTGCATTGTCAATATTGTTCTCATAATGAGCACCACAGTTAGGAGTCACTCATGGTTTACAGAGCTACCCTTTTATGTTTTAGAAGCAATTTGTCTAAGTCAAGCCTGAAATACACTGCAAAGATGATGTTGGGGAAATTTATACAGTTCCTACCTGTTATGTGGAAAATGCAAAGCCCTTTCATTTCCTGGTTGTCAAGCTAACGTTATTCATGTCTTTTCCCAGCGTTGCATTGCTTAAAAGGGAAATGCAAAACTATTTAATTTTGTTTGTGCTGTCATTTATAGTTAGTTATAACTGTAGTTTATATTGCAAGGAAGAGGATACTAAACTTTCCTGTCACAGGCTTTTAATAGTTCAGCCTAAGAACAGGTTCAAAGCAGTTTCAAAACAGCTTTGTACAGGTCAAAAAGCGATACACCTTCCTTACGCTGAATAGCGTCTCATTGCAAATAGCTCACGTGTTACTAATGTATGTTTTGTAGGATGCCAGTTAGAGTGGCTTGGTACTATTTTCTGTAATTTTTTTTTAAAGCATTTTCAATTCATTATCCTTCACTTGATATCTGCTGCACTGGTTGAGACAGAAGAAAATGGAAACCAAGTTCAGTTTATCAGAAAATCAGCTGTGCTTTTCTACCTATCAAAACACAATGTAAAGATAATATGTATGAAATTATTCTGAAAACAAGGCTTTCTATTTTGCAAACCAATCTTTGAGAAGAGTAACTGCTCTCACTGCATGTGCTGGCACTGTAGAATAAATCTGCGTGACATATGACAAGCAAGAAAGGGCAGATCATTTATCATAGGGAGCGCAGGCTGCCCTTGGATAGCATCCCAGGCAGTTCAATGGTTGCTGCTGATGAGTTAGCACAATGAAAACCATACCAGCTGAGTGTGCATGAGGGAAAACTGTGCATTTAATATCAAATAGGTGTGGTGAAGTCAAGCATACAAAAAACCATCATGTCCTGAGGATACCGAACCCTATGCAGCCTAATTATAGCAACAATGCCTGGTGTCTGGCAGTTGAAAGGAGCTTCACTCCCAAGAATAGAAACATATATTAAATTTCCAGTTCTAAATGGGAAGCCACTTTATTTGGTAATGAAGAAACTGTTTTGTTTTGGCTGGGAAAGGGAATGAGCCAATCACAATTCCCATGTGCTTTTTCTGATAAAACCAGGAACTGGGAAAAAGGGGATAAGGTCAATCATAAGGTCATATTTATTTTGTGTACTGTCCTCTGTAGATACTGCTGTGAGAGAAATAAAAGTCACAAGTCTCTGAGGAGGATAAAAGGGGAAGAAAAGGAATCTTTCTAAATGGCTTTTGAAAATAGCGTCCAATCCTTTTGTACAGCAGCTTCTAATTAACACATTTCTTTTTTAATGTCCTATTATTCCATGAAATCAAATGGCTCTGGAGAAAAGTGTAGTGTTTTCTCAGCATTACTGCAATGGGAGCATTTTTATATTAGGTTCCTGATCCTCTCTGTATTGAGGCCAATGGCGAAATTCCAGTAGACCTCAATAAGGGAAGAGTCAAGTCTTTATTAATTTATAATCAGGGATTACAGTAACATGGGATGACATCATATTTCCTCCAGGCCAAACTTGCACAATTACACTGATAATGTACCCAGCAATGCTATCACACCAGTGTAATAAAGAAGGAAGATGTGAAGCTCTGTGTTGTATTTCATGTAACCACTGCACACAAAGCTCGTAGGGTCATAAGAAAATTCAGGAGGTAGGAAGGGACTCAGGACGTCTCTGTTTCAATGTCCCAATCAAGTCATGGTCAGCTATGATATCAGACCAGGTCATTAAGGGGTTTATCAATTTAATGCAGGATGCAAGGGATGAGGGATGTGGTACTAAGCCACCTTTTCTCTCTGGTGTGTGAGGATTGGATGAAAGTCAGCAGAATAATTCTGAATGAACTATAGGTTGGTTTAAACTGTTGTTAATGAGCATCTAAAGTGCCCAGATGGCAAATAAGTTTGCACTGTGGAGTGCTACAAGTAGCACTTGTAGCACTACTGTAGATCTGGCAACTAGTTTGCTTCCTTTATTTCACTTTTCTGTTTTCTTCTTAATCTTTTTTTTCTTCTCAGTTCTTTTCAACATGCATTTCTAAAGTATGAGTTAATGAATTACTGTAAGAAAGGGAGGGTTTTTTCTGTTTTTTTTATTCAATGTTCATGCAAGTTTTTGAGCAAGGCTGTGGTTGAATCATGTCCTATTAACCAGATACTGATGGGTGAGATGAGCAATGGTTTCTCTCTCACCAGAGAAGAACACTACTTTGTAGGCAAATGTAGTGATGCACAGTAGGAAACTGGGAAAGCCAAATATTAAATGTGAGATAATTTAGAGAGAAAGAATTACTCAGAGTTGCAAATCAATGTGTTAGGAGGCAAAAAATTTTGAAGCTTACATTTGTGCAACAACTGAAATTTCAAATAAGTGCAATGATCTGTCTCTCTCTGCATGCTGCAGGCATTGAGCTGATCTGTGAAAAAGACATTGATCTTGCGACACAGGTTCAAGAACTGCTGGAATTTCTTCATGAGAAACAGCATGAGCTGGAGCTTAATGCTGATCAAACTCACAAGAGGTTAGAGCAGTGCCTACAGCTCCGGCACCTACAGGCTGAAGTCAAACAGGTGAGAGTTTTTAACAACATTTAAGGGTCTTAAATGGGTTTTCAGCCATTACATACAGGCAAACTGCAAAACCAGCTTCTGCCAAGTCGCATACCTTTAAGTGGACAACCTTAATCCCCCTTTCCTTAACAGTACTTGATTTGCTGACAGATTGCAGGATGACTCTTTACAAATAACGAAATGTACATATATTTGGCTTCATGGATAGTTGTGGGAAGTCTGCGCAGAACTGACCCCATAACTTCTCATCTGGAGAAGCTGCCTCAAACTCCATGTGTTCTGGGAATATAATGATTTGATCTGGGATCCAGACTTAAGCTGTTTTGGAGAATTGGCCCAAAGCAAAGGATAACTGAGCTGTGAGGTCTAAGTATGACATTACAGTAGTTTCACCGTTTCATTTATTGCTATGCGTCTGTTGATCTGCAGGAATCTTTAACATCATCTGGGTGAGATAAAAAAATTCTGTCTGTGGTTTCTAGATCCTCGGACTTGTTCAGCCATCTTAGTATTGTTACAGTGCCTTTCTTCCAGATTTCAGCCTAGTGTAGGCAGTTGTGTTCTGTCTCCCTAGGTTTCCCCTGATGCTTAATTTGGATGCTTCACATTTCTTTGTTTTCCTTTGCTACACAGGATAACACTACATTTCCTGCTTCCTAATCCATAGGTGGCTTCACACGTCAGTGTATGTCTGGATTTCAGTGGAATGGTCTTGGTTTTGCTAGGAAAACCAGGAACATTTTTCCAGAATATTCAGGTTTCCATTTTACCAGTACAAATGGGGAAACAGGTTATGTTTTGGTTTGGTTTGGTTTTTTTCTCCAAATACTACCAGGTGCTCATGAAAAAGATTTGCTTCTTAGTTTACTAAAAAAAAAAAAAAAAAGAATATATACTTAGTGCTCAGTACACATGATCATAGTTATTCTTTCTTCAGAAGTGAATACTTGAGTGACACTTTATCTGAATTATCATTGCTGGCAAAAATCCTTCATTTGCAGACAACGCTCAAGCTAGAAGCTGGCAGCCCCAACACCAGTGCATATGTTTTCTTTCAAAGTCCACTTTGATATGAATATTTTGCAACCCTAAATGATAGTAGCACAGAACCCTCCTAAATTTTTATTTTGAAAATGTAGTCATTTTGCATTTGTGATAATTCAAGGCCAAGTCCTCATGAAGCTCCAGAGCTCTATAGGGTTCTTTGGCTTTCTTCTGAAAAAAAAAAAAAAAAAAGAGACTCTGTGATATCCATAATGACCACCTTAATGTCATTATGAAGGGTATGCTTTTTTCCATAGGTTCCCAAAGTTTCTTACACACAGCTTAGCTAAGCTTGGAGTTTTGTGCGGTAGATTTATGATGAAGTAGAGCCATTTTAACTTATGATAGAAAATAGAGAGGAGTAATATGTGTAGCAGAAATGCTAAAATTGCACATTGTTGCTATCTCACCAAGTGTCACTAGCCCACTTGACCAGGATGAATTGCCAGTTGGTCAGCCCTGTGGCTGCTCCTGGAGCTGTACAGTGGCAGTGCAGCACTCTCTGCAGGTACCTCATGTTGCTTACCTCATTATCAAGTATCTGCTGGACCTTAACAATTTTACAAACCAAAATCTAACCAAAGGAAATGGTTTTAGGGCTGAACTATCTAATACCTACTGTGAAAGGAGAACAGCTGCCTTGAATTAGTATTTCCTTAATAGAGCTTGGGACCATCAGAACCTTCATTACTGTGTGACCTTTCAGCAAACCAATAGTGAAGAATCATTTTACTTGTTCAGCTGAACACTAAGGACTCCTTTGCTTATTAACCTATAAATTACCACAACTACAGTTTCCCTTAGAAAGAGGCAAGTTAAAATATATCTGTTCCCTATCTATTTGGTTTCTTGCAGATGAGTCATATTCCAAACCATTTAGTGAAATTGGGAAATATATTGATTTTGGCATGTAGTTCATCTCCAGTCTGGTCCAGATTTCCTTCACTTTCATTTTAGTGCATCTGAGACGATGGATGATCTCATTACCAAATTGCTGTCACTCTTGTGAATCACTTGAGATGTGGTTGCCGCAAGACACCTATTGTAGCTGTGGTTAGGTTCTGCTGACGTAGTAAAATTGGTCAAGGCTGTTACATGTACATGTGTTTGCATTTTGATATAATGGCTCATGGAAATACAAAGTCTTTTAACTGTCTCTATCTATTTAAGTCTCATTTAACAGGGATTTCTGCTTTATATCATATGCACCAAGAGTTCGAATGCCAAGACAATGAATCGAAGTTTGGGGCCATTAAAGCGGAAAAATTCCAAATGAGATGTTCTGTGAACTGCTTTAGAGTGGAAATAGTATAGATCAGTGGTTCACAAACTCTTTGTTACTAAGAAAGATCCTGCCCAAGACTGATTTCCCCTCATTTAGATCCCATTTATTTCCAACAGAAACTACAGAGCTTGGATTGCTTATATAAAAGTAATAGCAGAATAGAGTTGTGGAGATCAGTTTAAAAAACAAACTCTCTAATGCTGTGCTTGCAGTTGTTTGGCTTCCCTATCCCCTTATTTTATCTTTGTATGTTTTATTTCTTTTTTTGGTAAGTGTTAAACTTGACCAAATTTACTCCCAGGTATCCTCACAGTGTCCCACTAGTTTCCCAGGTTGTTTTGAAATGTATTTATTCCTTTTCATGTGTCTCTTATCCATCCACTTTTGCTATTTGGCATTAGATTTGCTTCCAGATGAATATGCCCAAAGGATAATTGGATGTAGTCATTTGAGAGACACTGAATATATTTTGTTTTTTCCCAATCTAATATCACAGAGCTCCTGGAAACCTTATGCACTTTTGAACATGGCTAAAGTTAACAGAAGGTGTCCTTGCTGATGGTTGTGTCTGTGTTAGTAAGAGCCTCTCAAAGAAGCTGCAAAGGGTCCAGGGATGTAAAAGATGCACTTACATTATTTTGCCTTTTAAACTTAAAAATCTTTTCCAAGGTAACTTGACGGGTATCATTAGCAAGGCCTTAAGTCTTTTTCAGAAACGCAGAATCATAGAATCATTTAGGTTGGAAAAGACCTTTAAGTTCACCAAGTCCAACCATTAACCTAACACTACCAAGTCCACCACTAAACCAATTAAGGGTAGAGTAATAATTCATTTCATGTTTCCTGGATTGGTGGCTGGATTGTTTTTAATAAAAGTAAAACTAGAATAGAGTCATTAAGGTTGGAAGGGGTGTCTAAGATCATCAGTCCAACCGTCAACCCAACACCACCATGCCTAGGTGGTGGTCATCAAGGAAGGCATTCTGACTAAACTAAGCCATCAGATAGAAACACTATGAGATGCAGAGCTCTTATTTCTTAAGGAAAGGTACACAAGAAGTGCCTGTGTTTTTCCTGTAAGGTCTGATTCTATGCTCAGTGAAAATGGCAGAGTTTCAGGGTACGAATTTTAGAAGAAATTGGTACTGTTACTAAATTTCAGAGGAGTCATTTGCAGAAGTAGCCCGTTTTAAGCAAATTGGAGTCAACGGTGGGAGTTGTTTCAGAACTGTGGTGGTTGCCATGTTAAACAACCCATGCCTTGCAGTGAAATTGTTCTCCAGTGGCAAGTGGCTTTTATCTAAGATGCTGTCAATGTGTTTCTGCTTCACCATTATAAAAAAAAAAAAATACTTAGGCTTTTTAAGGAAGTCTTTGGAGATTTAATTTAACTACAGAATTGTTTAATCGTTGCTTCTACAAAGTTGATAAAATCTGTAATTTGTAGGAAATGTCTGTTTAAATCCATCTTTTTCTGTTGGCCTGTCTGCACATTGCCAGATAATGGTGAATCTGTTAATACAGGAAATGATCAGAGAAGTGTATTGGTGCTGTATTAGCAACTTCTATACATATTTTAATGAAAAGGTATTAAGCACCATATAAGTAGGAGTCAATTGGTGAGCAGGTCTTGTAAACCAGATACAAATGTGTAAATGCTCTCTTCCAATCATTTCTCTTTCCAATCATTTCATAGTCTACTTCCAAACCAGTGACACAGTGAAAGGTTCTGCAGGTGACTGGGTTTTGCACTTAGACTTAAGAAGCTTTGGGCATGCAACTGAATTTTTTTCTTACTGTATGTAAACAACACACACAAGAAGAGGAGGAAAAAAACCTAAGAGAAAAACATTATTATAGAAAAGTTCATGCAATGCCAATGAGGCCCTGACATTTAAGTGTTAGACTTTCAGAAGTAGAATGAACTCATTATTTAAGTTCTTTCAAGGAAAATTTTCTAGTGCTCACTGGGGCTGGAAGGGGGAGTGCAGGAGCCCCCCAGTGAGTGCCTGAACCCACACTCTGGGGGAAGGTGGGAGGGGCACAACTCAGGGGTGGTAGCAGCCTTAGACAAGAAGTGCTGTAAGCGTTGCTGACAAGATGTAGTCCATCAGAGCCTGACCTGAACTGCTTTACCCTGAATATTTTTGAGTCAACAAGACAGTTGTACAGAGGGATGCACAAGTATCATTACATTAGAGGATACATCAGAGGAAACTTGGCTGCTTGTGATTGTATGATCCTGCTTCCTCCTTACTCAACCTTGTTGCCTATTAGCTTTTCACTAATCAAGTTGCTTTGTTTTAAGACTGAGGTTTCCAGTGATTTTATTACTATTTGGACTCAGATATTTGTATGAAATCTGCATCAAAACCTCTATGGCAGGTTTTGAAATTTCGCTCAAATGAAAGCTGTTCCCAAGAGGAGCCTGTCATGCCCTGATTGTATTGTTGTTGTTGGTTTTTTTTAAAAAAAAAACCCTAAACAAATCCCAAACAAAAATAAGCTGCTGCCTTTTTAGCATACATGCTCAGTATTTTCTACACTCTAAATGGCCCAAGCCAGGATAGATCATGGTATATAAAATGTGAAAGCATGTCTTGCTTTATGATGTCCTCACTTCAAGTCTTTCCCAGATACAGCGATCCTTTGGTTAACTTCAGCTTTTAGTACCATGTAATAATGTAGCTTTCTTGTCTGATGGATTATAGAAAATGCCAGCCAAAAAGATTGCCATATGATAACCTGATTTCTTTTCCTTTAAATCTTTGTTGCATTTCCCACAGGAACAATAACACCTGCTGATGAAAGAGAGAAAGCTGACAAATGAAATCTTCCGCACTGTTGTACTGAGCAGAATGTAATTTTCTACAAATTAGGGTCAGCTACATGTGTAGACGGATCCCCTTTCTTCCTCCTAGGGAAAGCTCATTTTCTTACCCTACAGGGAACTGAATGGCTATAACTAGGGTGGTACATGATATAGGGATAAAACCCAAAACAACAGAAAATGCCTATTTCTTTCAGACAATTTAATGGATCGCTTGGTGAAAATTACAGCACAAAAGGGAAATTACTATATAGAATATTGCAGCAAAGTCAATTTTGGAACTTTGTAAATCACGAGCTAAATTTAGGGCAGTGATTGGGCAGTCAGGATTTCCTGTGCATCTGTGAATTGAATTCAGCAACTTTCTGGCTTTATTGGAATAAATTGACACCCACACAGGTAGAAAATAGGCTTTGAGACAACACAGCAAAGAACTTGCACGTGTGTTCTGGGTGCTAATTTTCCAAACACGTGTCTTAAAATAGCAGAAAATGTTGCTGCTTAAATGAATAAATACAAGCTTGATAGATTAATTATGTATATTTAAGATTTGATTCTGCAGTCATTACAGCATGGGCTGCATGTCTACAAATAATCTGAATATTCCTGAAGTAAAGCCTCTTGACTAAATATAAAATGCAAGACCTGGGATTTCTTTCTAGCTCTGCATGCAGGTGGAAACTCCAACTGCATCTTAACTCTGTCTCAGATGAAACCAACTGTGTCTTCTCCCTCTTCACCCCTAAGCTCTGACTTTTGTGTGAAAGAAACACAGGCAAGTGGAGCAGAAAGGAGTTGCAAGGTCCATGATTCCAATTGGAAATTTGAAAAAGCAAGAGATTATCAATTATGTTTAATTTCAAATCTCCCTCATTACACTTTGTGGTCTTGCCCTGGGGTATTTGCATAGGGGAAGATTCATTTTTGTGATCAAACCTTGGAAATGAAAGCTCTTTGTTATCCAAATATCCATGTAAATACTTTGGGAGTTTAATTCTTCAAGCAACTACTTCTTCAATAAGATCTTTGCCCTCTAAAAATTTATGTCATTAAGTCCTTATCCTAGGATTTCCTTCTGCTCACTGATTCAGCCTGAGACCACACTGGGCAAAGTACCTTTTTCTTAGCCAGGCTGAAGCATTTTCTGATCAGTGACTACATAAACCTTTGTACTGAACCAACCTTTCCATAAGCACATCCTTTCTTTACAGGTGCTTGGCTGGATCCGGAATGGTGAATCAATGCTGAATGCAAGCCTTGTCAATGCAAGCTCCCTCTCTGAAGCTGAGCAGCTCCAGCGAGAGCATGAGCAGTTTCAGCTGGCCATAGAGGTAACATGAATAAGTTAACTTTGTTTCTCGTTCCCAGGTGAATATCATATAAAAGGTTATCTCCTGGGCATCAATCATTGCTTGCTTGAAGGAAGGGAAGGAATAAACACTTTAGAAAAATCAACTTATCATTAAACTCATAATGCAGCCAGAGGTTAATAGTGAAACAAATTGTTTATCATCTGCAGCTAATTCTTCGGCTGTCAAATATCAGCCTTTCCATTCATGAAAATGACACTCATGCATCTCCTGATAATTTCTTTTGGTAAAAAAATAAGAAGATTAAAATTCACAAAGTGATCTGAAAATGGGAGAAGTTTGTGAAGTCAGTCTCTTCCCACGTCCACCATTTGCAGATCATTTCACAGCATTCATTTATGAATATCTTTGTTACTGGATAATGCTCTCACATGAAATCTTTGTTTCATTCAGCTCTTCTTTTGGTGACAGCAGAAGAGACATTCATTCAAACCCACATTCTCAAATAACTTTACTTTGAAGAAGAGGGAAGAGGGGCGATTTTTAAGAATTGCCTGTAAAACTGAGCTTTTGCCCCTGCTTGCCCTGGAGTAGCGCATCTTTGACCTGGCCCTTGAAAACTAATTGTGAGGCAACCCATTTGCCTCACTCATGGGGCCAGGACATGGCAGGGGGGGGAGAGGAGGAGCAGCACCTCCTCTGAGCCGCTCTCCTTCGAATGAGAAGGTAGTGGATGGCTATGAACTCCCCTGAGCAGGGCAGTACAAGACTTATAGTTAGGCTCAGTACTTTATATATCTTTGTCATTATGAACAAAACCCTGCACTCACAGGGTGTGTTTGCTCTGGTTGTGAGAAAGAGGGGCCATTGCTTTCTCCTGTTCTTGCTTAACAAGGTGTATATTCTTCCCAGATTATGTTGTTACCTTTTTACAGAGCAAAGAAAAAGTTGGAAAATCTCTTTTTGTGATTTACATATATTTGAAAATAACCAAAACTAAACCAGACTTTACACTATGAAAATAATAGGTCCATAATGGAAATTTGCAAAGATGCTTGATTTACAGGGGGAAAAGTGTCTTTGTCTCTTCTGGTAAACTTTAAATAGGTCAATATATATTATAGTGTTGCTAGTAAGTATAGTGTTTAAATCTCAGCTAATGACCTATTTTGATCTGGCTCCATTCACACTAAGGAAGGAGCAGCTGTTGCAGCTCCTAAGGGAAAAGGAAGAAGTTTTCTATCAATTCTGTGTGAGCTGGCTGGTACCAAGCTGTGCTGACCACATCTTGGCAGCTGTCACTAGACAGCAGTGGGGAACAAGACACCCACTGGCTGTGTTATCGCAGCTTGCTGCTGTTGGGGGAGTGCTTGTATTTGGTGGTAAATGCAAATCACAGAGGGAGAAGAGGGTTACGCCACAGTAAGGGGAAAATAAGTTTTCGAAGGGAGAAAACACTAGATCAAATATTTAAAGTGTTTAAAGTTCAGTATGGGGAAAAGATCAGCAAAGCACACAGGGCAGACTGTTCTCTAAAGGCATTCTAGATGTGGAATTGATTTTCAGTTGAAATCCTTTAAAGTCTGTTTAAAACAAGTATTACAACTCTAACATCAGTAAAGCAGCTGGATATTAAATTTAACCAGTTGTTCTTGAACATCTTCCTAAATGTTTCTGCCAAGTATTAATCCTTTTTTTGCTAATAGCTTTCCCTACATTGCATTATTCATCAGTGTGTTACCAAATGATTTCAAGCTTCATTCCAGGTTCAAGGATTAGATCATAAAAGTATCACATGAAAATTTGTCAGCAGCAGTTACAAATGGGATGCAGAACAGAGGAGTCTATGGAGATTTTAGGGCTTCTGTTCAGAAGATTAAAATCAAATATTGGCCAAAATTGTGCCTGAACACAGTTACTCGGGAGGCTGTGAAGGGCTGGAGTCTATTTTCTGCTAAGCCAACCCACAGAGGAAGGTGTAACCACCACTTGGTTACTCTGAGAGGAGCTGGTGTAGGCTGAGGAATGGGTCAGATAATTCAGTCCTGCCTATAAAGTGGCTACTGAGTAAATTGCAGAACAGTGGAGAATATGGCTTGACTCCCCCCAGCTTTGCCCTTAAAGGTAGCATAGTGTGGCTCCAATATGAGTGAACTGACTTGCAGAAATGTATCTTTTAGGGGCTGATATTTGTGATATAGTTCATGCCATTTAGTAAGGCATCTTCATGTCTTCTGGGGTTGATGTTTTGTATCCTGTGGAGAGGGCAATTACACACATGATTAAAGCTGCTGATGCCGGCAAACTAACTGGCAAGAGTCAAATTAGGGCGATCAGGCCCACAGTTTGCCAATTCTTTGGTGTTTGCTTTTGTATCTGCAGATTGTGTGGGAAGCAGTCAGCACTGAGTACAGGCTGGGTAGGAGCTCAGCACAACAGCTGCCTGCATTGGGGTTGTCCAAATGGATCCACCGGGAACCCCACCCCGGGTTGTTGCCCAAGGGGCAGTAGCTGATCGGTGGACCTAACCCATCTTAGCCAGCGCTTGCTTGTCCTAAGCTTTAATAACATGTTGCAAATGTGTGTGAATAATTGAAACTAAAATGCTTTGCAGAAAGTAACTGTTAACTGAAGATAACTCTGAAATGTTTCACTCTCTCGCATCTCCATGCTCACGCCTTGCTTCACCTTTCTACCATACATCTGGCACATCTATACAACCTCTCTTTCCTCCCCTCATACACAGTCCCTCTTTCATGCCACTTCCTTACAGAAGACACACCAGAGTGCCCTGCAGGTCCAGCAGAAAGCCGAAGTGTTGCTACAGGCTGGGCATTATGATGCTGATGCTATCAGAGAGTGTGCCGAAAAGGTGGCCCTGCACTGGCAGCAGCTGATGCTGAAGATGGAGGACAGGCTCAAACTTGTCAACGCCTCGGTGGCCTTCTATAAAACCTCTGAGCAGGTGAGCTGAACAGTATCATATCTGTATCATAGCGTATTGCTACAGCCTGGGATTTAGCTCCTAGTGTACAGTGTGAATGTCTTGCCTCTCATGAAGATCAGCAGTGCAGTCTCTCTGCTCTTCCAGAGTGTTGAACTGTTCCAAATACCTGCTCTGCTAATACCACTAAGGGCCAGCGCTCATTCTTCTTCCTTTTCCCTGAGTAATCCCAAAAGTAGGAATAATGTGGCTTCAGTCAGCCCTGCTTGCCCTTAAATCTGCGCTTTGTCTTTTTACATATGTTTGTGTGTCTCCATCCACATATTTAGATGCATATAAACTTTTGTGTCACCTGACTAGGACCAGTGTTGAGCCTTCGGGTGACTCCCAGCTGGTAAACACCAATGTAGGTGCACTCCACGATGTAGCAGCGCTGGTAGTTATGGGTTTTCTACTCTGACCCTGAGTGCAGAGTCTTCTGCCAGCAAGGGATCTCACATCATTGGCAAAATTAACTGAAAGGGCATTTGCTGCATTGGCATAGCAATGCTAAGCCACACATGGAAGCCAAAGTTTGAACTAGTCAAAATTGTTTCTCTGACAAGTATTGTAAAAAAAAAAAAAAACCCCAAAACCTAACACCACCACCAACTAAACAGAAAAGGCAGCAGTTTGCAATATTATTCATCTTAAAGTTTTCAGTGAAGCAATGTAATTCTTGAAGTTTTGGGTTTTTTTTTTAATTGTTCCCTTTCCAATGGGAAGCCTTTCTGAAATCCCGCCATTTTAGTTTCAAGTTCTCATGATATCAGAGTTAATTTTGAGGAATATAAATCTGCTTTTCCTTGAGAGCTGCTTGCAATTAATTACTTGTTACTTTGCAAGCAGTACTAGTCACTGTTTTCACTAGTAGTTAAACACCACCATGCCGAAAAAGGTGCCAAGATAGGAAGGGATTTCTCTTAAATCCATCTGCAACACAGATAATTACAGAAGTAACCATTATATGTTGACACAACTTTACCTCATTCCAGGTGTCCATGAATTGCAAAACACATTCCAGTTGGCTGCTGGTGCGGTGGGATTATTCATCCCTTGCACAAACAGGTGCCATTTATACTGTAGTCAGTGAGAATTAGTGTCATAGTGTGGATACTCAAACAGCCTTGCCTGATGTAATTTACTGCAGCCAGGCAGTTTGTGTTAGCATGGACATTGCAGGAACCTGTGGTTTTATACAAAAGGCAGCAGTGATTTCTATTAATTTTTCTATTATTATCATCACAGTTAGTTCCTTAATTAGAGAACCAGAAATGGGAAGTTTTTTAGCACAACTAAATATGTCATTATGGAAAGAGAATATTTTTTCCTTAACATCAAGGCTGTAGATGATCCTTGGGCCACTTTTTGGTGTCATTTGTTTAATGCATTTTTAAGATTGTTTAAGATTAATTCATTCCTTATAATGAATGTCTTTCACTGTGAAGAGTTTCAAACAGATTTACAGTCCCTGATGCATTCAAGATTGAAATGAATTACTGCTGGTGGAAGATTGTGAGAAATGAAAACCATTAAGGGATTCATTAGTGCTTTAGACAGTTAAATGTGCTGGCCAAAATATGCATAGCCAGTGATTTATCAGTTCAGTCTCTCTTCCTCTTTCTAAGTCGTAGACAAGCATACTGCAGTGCCCACTAGTTCATTCACTAGTTGTGTCTATTCAGCAAATGTTTAGGGCAAAGATCGTTCAGTCTTTGAATGCTCATAAACTCACCGCTGCATGTAGTCTGTCATCTTCTCTTGGGCTGCACGACTGATCTACAGTCCTTAATGGTCTGCACCCTGACTGGATGATAGTGGATTGAGTAATTTACTGGATCTTGAATTCTCTGAGTATCTAGAAAAAGCAGCTAAAAGGGTGAAGAGACTGTCACAACCAGCCAAACTTTTTCATACCTGTCTTCCCCCAGCATAGTATGTTCTTGGTATAGCTGGTGGAACCCTGGCTTTCAGATAGTCCAGTTTCTCTCTGACTTCACTGACAGCCCACTTTATATTAATTTCACTCAGTATCTTAACAGAGAGGTGATATTTGCATGTACAGGGACCATCCTTTCTGAAAAGATGTGGACCCCAGGCAGTCCGTCTACTTTCATTTTTTAAGGTAGCAAAGTCCAATAGAGTACCAAAGTTTTCAAGAATTAAGAAGTAAAATGGAAATGCTTTTCTGTGCCTGAATAACACATGGGACACTTGCTCTCTGATAAATGTTTGAGGGTGAATGCTGGTTTGCATCCAAGCAAGATGATTTCAGATTGTCAAATGCATAAGGTCCTTGAACAGCTTGGCAGCAGAGTAAGTTGATCAGTTCACCTCAGTTCACCAGTTTTAAAACTGAATTTGATGTGTTCATGAATGGAGTTGCATGAAAATGGCCTGTGATAGTGGGGGAGGATTGGTGGGTGATGCTGGAGTCTCTTCCAGACTATGCTCTTGAGCATGTAGGGTCCTCTGAATTATAACTGTGTTCATATAAAAGTTGCAGGAGTGAGCAAGAAAAGTGTGAACGTGGTTAGCTGGACCCCCAGCAATAACTGACTGGATCTTGAGTAATCTCAGCAGTGGAGGGTGTAGGAAGAGCCATCTGGGAGAGAAGAGGAAAATTCCAAATGGTCCTGAAAACTTTTGCAGTTTTTTTGGTGTCTGCACAGGCCAGTAAGAGTCATTCTCAGGATCTGCAACACAAAAGACTCAGCCTTGTCTGAGGCCACTGCACACACAGTTTCCAGACTGTGTTGGTTTATTTACCTCATTCCCATTATTCTACCAAGACAGAAGATACTTGTGTAAGCCCTGTACAGTGGAACACCTGCATCCACCTAGGTTGCGACACTTGATTTAATGTCTGTTGGTTTCCATCAGTCTTTAAAAAAGCTGCAGAGGGAGCCACTAGCATGCAGCTGAAGAGAATTAGTTCCAGCTTCAGACTTTGTTTCAGGAAAGTATTTAAGCATGTGTTTTTCTTTACATATGTGCTAAGTCCCTTGTCTTCAGTGGGATTTAAACACATCTAAAGCAACCTTCTGGAACAGGGATTGTTTCCTGAATGATCCACTGGGGCCAGCACTGACCCCTGCCTTGATTCAACCTTTTGAGCTTCCCCCCAATTATCCATTGGAGGAGAAGAAGGATTTATCAGCCTTAAACCAGGTGAATTGCATCCCAAACAGTAGATCCCTATGGGTAAGAAGAACTGCTAGATCATTCTGTCCAGGGCCTGTTTCATACCCACTCATCCTCCATGCCATGGCCCATAGTCCAAAACATTTAGATTTGAAGTTATTGGTCATAGACTTTTACTGAATATGTTGCTCCTGATTATGGCTGTTGATAACTGAATTGCTGTGCTATGGGCATGTTTCAGGTGTGCAGTGTATTAGAGAGCTTGGAGCAAGAATACAGACGGGATGAAGACTGGTGTGGAGGTCGAGATAAACTTGGACCAGCAGCTGAGATAGACCATGTCATCCCTCTGATCAGCAAACATCTGGAACAGAAAGAGGCTTTTCTCAAGGTTTCATTTTAGTTCTCTAATAAATCAGGAAAACTCCCCACTAAGTAGTAAATTTAGAGCAGTGTTGGTGAGTTTGAGAGGAGGGTCTGAGCTGTAATTCCAGTTCAGCTACTGGCTGGCTGTATAAGTCCTCGGCCAGTTTCACACTGTTACAGTAGGGGTAATAAGCATTATCATCAATGCATATCTCAGAGAGATGTCATCAGGATTAATTAGGTCGTATTTGCATTGCACTTGGAGGATGCTGGTTGTTGTGCTGGTCCAAAGTTCAAATTCTCAAAATTGCATATGATGAGCATAAATGACAGGTATTATACAGCATTTTGGTGTTGGCTTATACAAACCATCCAGCATTTCAAATTCTGTTCTCCAAGCTGACAACTGAAGAACTGTTAACAACTGAAGCAATTGTGTCGCTGCAGGGCAGCACCAGGATGGAGACAGATTTCTTCCTGCCTTCCAGGTGCTGCTTTGTAAGAACTGTAGAGCTGACAGGCTGACAAGGCAATTGATAGCCAGTCTCCCACCTTCCACTAAAACTGATATACAACATGAAATTACGCTTGCAGGCAAGGCTTAAGAAATTATGCCTCTAGATTGTACATTTTTTGAAACAATGAGTACTTTTCTTGAGAGATGGGTTAGCTTTGGTTAGATTGAAAATGTGTGACGTACTAGCTCTTTACAACCAATTGTTTTATTATTGTCATTAATTTGCCTTAATATGTAAAATCAGCCACTGTATGCAAAATTACTTGTGTTTTAATACATTTATGAGGCTGTAAGTTTATTAGCTGCGTTTATTGACTCCTAGGTGAAGCTCACATGTTCCCATATGAAAAAGAACTTCTCCCTGCAAAATAAGCAGAGAACTCTCTTGGGTCCCCTTTGCTTTCTTTGCTCATCTTCACTGATTCTTTTTTGGTGGGGGCTGTTTTTCTTAGGCCTGTACGCTGGCACGAAGGAACGCTGAGGTATTCCTCAAGTACATCCACCGGAACAATGTCAGCATGCCTGGAGTAGCAAGCCATACAAGGGGGCCCGAGCAGCAAGTGAAAGGTTGGTGCACTGGTGCAATGACAGCATGGAAGGTTTTGTTTGCTTCCCCCTCTACTGTGTGGGCATCCTAAAGTTTGTGAACATGCTGAGAAGGCACCTTAAGTTTTGCTATCTGTTGTCACTAAAATAATACATATATCTGACACCTTTAACAATGGTAGTGAGGCCTCTCAGAAAGTGATCCCTCCTCTGCTAAGCATGAGTCCTTAAACAGAACTCTTCTGTTGCAAGTGGTGGTGTGGGAAAAAATGGAAAGGGATTTGAAATATGGGCTCTGTCTGGCTTCTCTTGTCAGGAGAGTCCATGGGAGTCACGCTGTGCCATCCCCCGTCATGTAGGTTGTCAGCTGAGATGATCAGACGCTGTTTTGCCTTAATATCTAAACATGCATAAACAAATAAGCACATATCAAACACAAGGTCTAGATGCATCCTTTTGCTGCTGAGCACTGGAAAAAAATGAACCCCAAACTTGTTTGTCCCTGGGATAGATCTGCTATTTTTTTGTCCCTGGATCCTGTTTGATTTCCTACCCACATCTAACAATCACCAGCAAAAGCATCTGCCTGTGGTTATTTTCCTTTGGTCAAAAGAGCACCATTTACAATCAGACAATACATCTGAGATGTTTGAAATGTTTCCACTCCTCTGCTTAATTAAACAGTTGTTAATCTGTGCCTAGCAATGCTGCAAGGTGCTGATAGGAATGAGCAAAGTGATTCTGCAGAAATTTTCTGTTGTTATTATTATTGGCTTTCTTACAAGCTGCAGAAAGATACAGGTTAAAAGCAGTGCAGTCATTATATATGTGGGAGTGATGGGAACTTTGGTTATACAAAGAAGATGAAAATGGTGCTACTGAAGATATTATTTTCCTTTCTTTCTTTCAATACCAGTTCTTCAGTTTTAACATGACTTTGTTCAACTTTCCCCTGCTACTGTGTCAAATGCTTGTTGTTGTTGTGGACTTTTGTTCCCTACAGTTGAAAATCACAGGAAAATTAATTAAATCCTGACTCAGCAAGCCCTTAAATATGCACCTGATAGAAGCTTGTGGGTGTTCCTCACTCCACTTGTTTGAAATCACTCACTTATATAAAAATCATCTTGTATATTATTCTTTTTCTAAGCCAAATGTGTAATTCTTACGCTTGGCAAGTTTATCCACAGAAAATCTTTGAATCGGATAATTTAGTTCAGATAAAAGCATCATTTAGTAGGATACTTGTTGTGCTTCCAAAGCAAAGTCATTAACACAGAACAAAATTAGTTTTATTTGGCATAAACTGTTTATGCAGAGACCTGATCTGGAGCACCCATGACAAGCTTCAAGTTCATTTTGTCATTCAGATAAAGCTCCCTCAGTAGGGACTGGGCTAGGTTTTGCAATTAACTTAAGTATTACAGATTTTTTTACCATAATCAGTGTCACACTTGCAAATGGGGAGAGAGGCATCCAAATCTGTTTGCTGCCGCCAGTGTTGATACGTAAGCAATGAATATCAGTACATTCAGAAAGGGCTTAGGGTGAAAGAAGTTATTAACAAGTGCTGTAAATGATCATAAGTCACTGTAAGTGGTTGAGAAGCCAGACTCAACGTTTTAATATAAAAGACCGTGGCTGTGGCCCAGGCTGCGTGTGCCTAAGCCCCCTCTAGTGTATGCTCTGCTTTGAGGATAAGGGCAGAAGGGCTGCCATGTCTTACCTGCCAAGGTAGCTACCTGAGCTCCGTACCCAGACGTGGCTGGGATGAGCCACGCTGCTGCCAGCTATACATGACTTAGCTCGGTTTAATTAGAAAAGCTCAGGTTTAACTGAGGGTTATGTGAGTTATATAGTGTAAATCTCTTGCACTCTCTCTGCGTGTAATCTTTTCCATTAAATCCATGGTACTTTTTAATGAGTTAAATCACACCCTTTTATCAAGTTGATACAGTCTGGTTGAGCACTCAGGTTTTGAAGGAGAACAGGTATGTCCTAGACTCCAAGGAGTAGCAGGTCTCTTGCCAGTCTCTTCCTGAATGTGGGTGTCTGCATATCCCCATCATACAGAAAACAGTTTAGAGGACCAATACCAGGCCTCAGCCCAGAATCGTAGCCCAGCAATAACTGCACAGGGAGCAGCACACAGAGGGTCGCCAGGCAGCACAGCTGTATGAGAAACCTCAGCAGGTATGTCAAACTGGGAGCTCAGGTCTCAATTAAATTCAATCTTGACCAGAGCTCTACATGGGACAGTAGGCTTTGGTGCCAAGTGCTGGGTAGCTTCTGGCCAGAGCAACAGATAAGGCAGCAAAAGGGCAATTTCTCTTATGTCAACCAGTCCTAGACTCTTGAAATAAGCAATAGAAGAGACTGAAAGGACAAGAAATCATGCACCCCAGTGTATTTACTGGGATAAATCCCAAACTCTGTTCTAGCATCTTCTCCTTTACCAGATAACCCTGCAACTGCGCTTTTTTGTTAGGCTGGGGTTTGTTTGGGGGTTTTTTGGTTTGTTTTTTTTTTTTTAAAGCAGCCCCTTTGAATCAATGTTTGTTTTTAAGAAATACAATCTCAGGGGCTCTGCTCTTGGAAGTGAGGTCCAGGCAGAGTGAGTAAATTCAGGTTTTTATGTCTTATCTCTGTATGCACTCACAGAAACACTAATCATGCAGATGTTTTCCTTTGCCCTACAGCCATTCTGAGTGAGCTGCTGCAGAGGGAGAACCGGGTCCTTCACTTCTGGACCCTGAAGAAGCGGAGATTAGATCAGTGCCAACAATATGTTGTCTTTGAGCGCAGTGCCAAGCAGGTAGTGTAAAAAGCCCACTTTGTCTTTCTGTCCTGGTAGTGTGTAAATATTTCTTGTATCTGTGTAATGCCTCTGTGTGGGGTTCCTGTTGCAATCTCAAGTTGTATTTAAAAACTGTAATGTTTGAAAACATGGCAAATGTAGATTTTTAAAACAATTTAAGAAAATTCCAAAACCCAACAACAAAATTCAGTATTTTTGCCAGGTCAGATTCATTTCGGGATTTGTTCATTTGTTTGAAAATAAATATAAGAGCAAACTTGTTTTATTGCACTATTACTGAATAGGAAAGCTGCTTTCCCTGTATGCAGATTTATCTGCATACAGGTAGAATTCCCTACATTCCTTTTCTCCTAGGAAACATACAGCACCTTTTCTGTTCTCTCCCACCTGCTTTGGTTGATATATTCTTTTTCTGTGTTCCTAGAAGGTGTTTTAGTATACACAGTATTAAGTCCCAGTGGGTTTGATATCCTTTATTTGGCAGATTTTTTTGTCAGAGGATTAGTTCTTGAAATACAAAGACTGTTTGTTTTGTTTTTCCTTTGGTTGTTTTTGACATTCACAGGCCTTAGACTGGATCCAAGAAACAGGCGAATATTACCTCTCTACTCACAACTCCACAGGGGAATCAGCAGAAGAAACTCAGGAACTCCTGAAGGAATATGGAGAATTCAGAGTACCTGCCAAGGTAAACAGTGATTTTAATCTAATTATGGCACCTGCCTTAGTCTATGTTTATGATCCTGTTTCAATGCCTTAAATGTCTGTAATAATATTCTCTTGATTTTGTATTTTCCTCCTGACATTCCTAGCCCAGAAGATAAATGTCTTTTGAGAACTGTGATCTTTCATTTTTAGCAGGACATAGGCACACAAAGGAGGGGTTCTCTCCTCCTTGGTCTATACTGGTTATGGAGCATTTTTGTTCTGATCAGAAGGAAGAGAAAGTCCATTTGCATAGAGAGTTCACAGCAACCTAATGAGACATACCCTAATTCCATCCTCAGATGATCATACAGGAATGGTACAGAGTAACTAATTGATCTGAACATATCCAAGGTTATCTTTGATTCCCTGTCTCTTTCTTCTGTCATTACAACCACGGCTGGTTTCATTAATTCCAGCTGGGTTGATCACAGATTATCATTTATCTCATTAGAAATAATCTGCTGATCTCAACAAAATACTTTAAATAAATGTGTTTGTAAACTCCAGGGTGAACATTTTTTAATACAAAGCTGCATTACCAAGAATCTGTTAATTTATATGGAGCAATTCTGAGAAATCTGCTGAGGTTTACAGAGGAATGGTGATTGGATCTGCTTCAGACAAATTAATTCAAACCATAGGTAATTCAGACAGTGAATCCACAGGGGTATTAACAGTCACTAATAAGGATCTGAATTGCAAAGTCAGACTGCAGCAAGACCATGGCTTTGGTATTATGTAGCTTCATTTCACTGTGTCCTGAAACTGATCTTCTGTAATCTTTAAACTCCTCATTAGGCCATCCATACTTGCATGAGTTTGATTCACAGGCTTTGTGGTGTTCTTATCCCCTTTCTTTTTCCTTAGCTTGCATGTTTGTGAAAATGGGAAATAACTAGCAGTGGATGGAAGTTAATTTAATCAGACAGGACCCGTACAACATTCCTTTAACAGTACTCCTGGCCTCTAACCACCCATAATCAGTCCTCCTGAAATCACGTTCCAGTTTATAATTTAATTTTGATCAGAATAATCCCAATTTATCCTGAAGTTTCCAAACTATTTCTACGCTTGACTTAGCCTAGGATTGAGTTTTATACCTTGTTCCTTATTGACCATTGCTGGCTGTTCCTTACACTGACACATTTAGTCTTGCTTCCTAGGGCTCTAGCAAATCACTTTCCTACTGCTGACCTAGAATATTTTCACTGCCACGTGCGATCTGGTAAATGCATGTCACTCCCAGACTGATATTATTCTCAAATTAAGCTGTAACTGAAAGCCTTCCTCATCCCAATAACTTTCTGGCCAAACCAATTGTTTGGACAGCAAAAACACCAGTAGCTTTTGCTAATGAAACACCCTTTAAATATAACAGGAAGTCAGATATTTACTTCTCCATACCTAGCCTTGCTTAAGTACTCAATTAATTTTTTTAAGACGAACTCTGATTCAGCTGTTAATTTATTTTGCTGGTGAGATTTCTTGAATTTAGTTTTGCATTTGAAATCTGCTACATGTTTCCTAGTCTGATGTGCATTTGTCCATTTGTGGCCAGATTGCTGATAATGTCAAGTACCTGATAGCATGTCTCACTTCAGGCAGAGTGGAACGTTCTCCCCATCTCTGAAAAGCAGCTTGCCAGTACCTCTGGGGATATGAGTGATTCCCCTTTTGCTTTTAAGGATTAACGTGTGTTACAGCTGGAGTGCAGTCTGTACAGTTGATATCTCAGTTTTTCTAAGCATTTTGTACTTGAGTTGGCTCAAACATAGGGTCCAGGCACCTTCAGTTCCTAGGACAGATTTGGAATCTAAGCTACAATGTATAACTGGCTCTTTTGTGTCAGATTTGCGGAAAGTTCCTCAACATGGAAAACCATAGTGACTAAGGGGGAGTCAGAGCCCAAGTGGAATAGAAAAGAACTCTAGAAGGTTTGGTGTCTCAGTGTATGTTTTGGAGTTTGGGCATCTTTTAGTTTGTAATGCTCTAACTGGAACTAAAATACTGATGGGAGATTTTATAGTGGACCAGGAATTTGGATTTAAATTCTGTTTGTTTCTGAAACAGAGTAGTAGTGACTCAAACTCACTTCCTGGACTGATATGTGGTGTATAAATGACCTGCTTACACAGGTCTGCAGAACCACCTAGGTATAGATTCAGAGTAACTTGGTGTATTTTATGAGGTGTGATTTTTTCAATCCTGTCTTGTACTCCAAGGCTCACAAAAAATAAGTTTTTGGTTATGGGAAGGAGGTGTGTCTAACTTACAACATGTTTTCCTTATGTGTTTGTGTGTGTGTGGTTTCAGAAACTTGACTTTTTCTATCTCCTGCAGCTTCATAAGTGTCCTTATAAAAATGTCATTCCTTTCATGTTTTACTGGGCAAAGTTTAAAGCATCTGATTCTGTATAAGATGAAATACAGGCACTCTTTAATGATGTATAAAAATTTGTGAGCTGCTTCTGACTGCTGTGTGAATTAAAAGCAAAGGAAATAATAATACAACATAACCAAGGACCATATTTTGGGCAGCAAACAAAGGAGAAAGTGAAGCTCCTCATCCAGCTGGCTGACAGCTTTGTAGAAAAAGGACATATACACGCCACTGAAATTAGGAAGTGGGTCACCACCGTTGACAAACGCTACCGTGACTTCTCTCTCAGGATGGGGAAATACCGCTACTCCCTGGAAAAAGCCCTTGGAATGAATACAGAGGTACTGTAAGTCCATGTCCTGCTGGGGTTTTATACCAAAGCTGAAGGTCACAGAGGGAAGTGCAGGCTATGGTATGAATGCTGCAGGTTATTGTGTATCCATTAGAAACACCTAAAACCTAGCCAACCTACCTAGCCAAGCTCACAACTGTTTCTGAAGAGAAAAAGTGTTTTTGTGGCAGATCAGTTATAGGAGGAGACAGACAAAGATCAGAAAGACTTTCTAAACAAATGTTTGCACCATTCTCCGGGAGACCATACAGCTACTGGGAAGGAGGGGGAAACATTATTTGGAAAAAAGTCTGTGTTAATTTTAGCATAAGCCATAAGTCCAGCTCCCACACCATTATTTTGAATCAAACTCAGGCTTTGACTGTAAGTTTCCATTCCCTCATCCTTTGACTAGCCAAAGAATTGATCCCCAACCTCATCTTTGAGCTCTTTTAGGTGAAATAGAGCAACACAAGAGAAACAAAAATTAGAACCTCCTGCTATTCCCTGGCCACAGTATTAAGGGGGAGTGCCAGAAGCAGAAACGCTTAAAAACATTTCAGTCAACCATCCTTTGAAATTAAGTATCAAAGAAAGAGGAATAAATTCACTCACACCCTCAAGATACCTTAAATGTACTGTTCCTTGTCGGGTCTCTGGCTTACACAAAATTACTAACCACAGTCTGGAAAGGTATTTCCATGGCAGAAGGCCATTGGAAGTTGGGATTGTCTCCACATAGTGCCCTACTTTATCAGACTATTTACGAAGTCCCACACTAGGCAACTAATTTGGGTGTGAAGGAGCAAGGTAAAATTCAAAGGTTTGTCATCAATACCTATTTCTAGATAGGAGTAAGAGTGAAGACTATAATAAATCTCATAGTTGGTGTTTTTTTAAGATTTCTCTCTCACCTTCTCACCTTCTGCCTTCTCACTGTAGTTCTTCTAAATCTCTTTGAATTTATTTTTTTCTGACATTGGTATATTTATCTTACTTTTGTGCCTTCTTATCCATTTGATCTCATGAACATGCTGCATTTTGCACTACAGTAGGGATACAATGAATTTAAAATGTGTACTGTCACTTTTTCTAGGATAACAAGGACCTAGAACTAGATATTATTCCAGCAAGTCTTTCGGACCGGGAGGTAAAGCTGCGAGATGCAAATCATGAAGTCAATGAAGAAAAAAGAAAGTCGGCCAGAAAGAAAGAGTATGTCCCCAAATGCTCGCACTCTGCCATGACACATTATCTAAGAGTGATTCTATGATATTTGCATGACCAAAACTGACTGACAGTCCTATAACTCCTTCCAGCTGTGGAGCTATTGAGATAAGTCTACAAGCGTAGGGCAGAATTTGTGACTTGTAGGCTAGAGAATTTCAGAACATACAGGTTGAACTTCTTTTGGTTTTAATCAGAAGTTGCTTTTGGAAAGGGAAAGGACTGAGTCAAGCACTTTGATTAGACCCTGATTTCATGGAGATACTCATTGTCATGATTTCTTTCTGTCTGTATGTGGAAAGTAAAATTAACAGGAAAAAATGAAAAGCATCTTTATACATCTAGGTATCATCTAAACTCCAGTGACATCCAGAGGAGTTAACTGGACTTCAGTGACACAAGAGTTTACTTGAAGTTTATGTTCAAATTTCAGTGGGTGTAGATCTGAGAGAACTGGAAATATTTCATACTAGATGAAAGATTTGGAGAGTGCTTGTTGCCCTTAAATCTAGAAACTGTCTAATTTCACAGTATTTTGTCTTAATGTCTGTGTGAGAATATTCTGGAAAGCATTTGTATGTACAGTCCTTCTCAGCCCTCTGAAATTGTCACTACAGTGCATAATATTGATAAGAAACAGGTGCTGCTTCAGGGAACAGTGGTTACGCTTGGTCTGCCTATGGCACATTTTCAAAACATTGGGCATTTCAACTTTGAGATGGCCAGCCTCCAGCACTACAGATGTGATTGTTGGGCTTCCTAGCAGTCTGGATTTTCTCCAGTCAGATACCAAGATGTTGAAGCCTATTCAAAGTAGTGGTATCTCCCAAATCCATCTGTGTTGCCACTGAAGGTCAAGTTTCAGGGTGACTTACCATTGACTGTTAGTGAAGATGCAAGTGTTGTTAGTGAATCTCAAGTCCTTACTCCTGGGGAAAAAAAATTCTGAGAATCAGTTGACTGTTAAGGATAGGCATGTAGATAGTAAATAACACCTCAGGGTTGCAGAAATACAACTTAACATAGTTTTAGGCAGAAAAGATATTTAGAAAATAACGCTACGAGGGACTAGAGTATGAAGTGGTATTTCATTCATGCAGCTGAAAGGTGCAAAGTGAGGCAGCTGAAGGCTTAGAGTGGAAGTACACTGATCCATGAAGACAACAGAAGGATGTTTTGTGTTCCGTTCGTTGTACAAATGCCTATAATGTCCAAAACACTTGAAATACTTTCTTTTTTCAGATTCATTATGGCTGAGCTGCTCCAGACGGAAAAAGCTTATGTCAGGGACTTACATGAATGTTTAGAGGTAAGTTATGGCCCGGGAAGTCTCCAGCATTTTCAGGAAGGTCATGGTATCCTTTGCGGTAGTGGTGGTCACTGTACTGCAAAGGCTGACTTTGACAAGAGTCTCCATGAGGGTACCACCATTGGTGGCTAGCTGCAGAGCTGTGTCTTGCTGGCGGTAGGAGCTGGGTGGGCAGCAGAGGGAGCTTGTCTCCCACTGACAGAACCCTACCCTGTGCTCCCCATGCGTGGCTGTAAACGTCTGCACCTCCAGGGACACGAGTGTGCCTTTATTTACAAAGCTGCACTGACCCCTGCAGAGTAAGAGCAATGTCCTGGGACTCAGTGAAGAGCAATATATTTGCACGTTGACCTGTAATTTGTTGGTTTCCAGTCTTTTGAATCACAGAGCATTTTCTTAAGCATTCAGATCTATCCCTTTGGATCATCTCATGCTAGAGAAAGAGCTGGATTTGCACTGTCAAATACCTTGCCTAGCTCTACAGCACGGTGTTTCTGAAGGGGACTGTGATATTCAGGGCAAAAAGCAGAGTGTATTTCAGTGAAATCTGTCAGCTTTCACATTCCTGCAGTTTGAAAGAGATTTTTATGTATCTAATGCTACTGAAGTGGCAAATCCAGCTTTTGTTTCAACTGGTTTTGCCTGCAGTTTTTGGACACCATCAGTTGGACAGCAAAGGCAGGTGTTGTTGGCATGTTTCTGCTTTTTCCTCAGACAACTTCTGAGTGTCAGCACTTTGAATTTCTCTGGAGAGCTTTCTGTGACACTGGAACTTTTTTTTTTTTAGCTTGTTTGTTTAATCTCAGTACACAGTTCCCTTGTCAGCCTGTGCCTTTGACAATAAAACAGGGAGATCTATTCTTTTTCACTGCATTTATTCACAAAGCTAAGAATTGCTGATATCTTCCAGACTTACCTTTGGGAAATGACAAGTGGAGTGGAAGAAATACCCGCTGGGATCCTTAATAAAGAACACATCATCTTTGGCAATATTCAGGAGATATATGACTTTCATAACAAGTAGGTTTTACTAAGTTCTGTTAATGTTTACTAAGGAAACCAAAGGCATACCTATACATCTATGTGGTGTCTGCAGTGAATACCTACAGTACAATGCACACAGGAGTGTAAAGTAATTGATCTTGCCCTGGTTTCAGATGGAATAGAGTTAATTTTCTTCCTAGTAGCAGACATAGTGTTGTGTTTTTGGATTTAGGATGAGAATAAAGTTAATAACACACTGATGTTTTAGTTGTTGCTGAGTACTGCTTATGCTAGTCAAAGACTTTTCAGCTTTCCATGCTCTGCCCTGTGCACAAGAAACTGGGAGGGGGCACAGCCAGAATAGTTGATCCAAACTGACCAAAGGGCTATTCCATACCATGTGACATCATGCTCAGTATAGAAACTGGGGGTAGTTGGCTGGGGAGCAGCGATCGCTGCTCAGGAACTGGCTGGGTATCAGTTGGTGGGTGGTGAGCAATTGCATTGTGCATCACTTGCTTTGTATATTGTTATTATTATCATTACTATTTTACTTTATTTCAATTATTAAACTGTTCTTATCTCAACCCAGGAGTGTTTCTCACTCTTACTCCTCTGATTCTCTCCCCCATCCCACTGGGGCAGGTGGAGTGAGCGAACGGCTGCGTGGTGCTTAGTTGCTGGCTGGGGCTAAACCATGACAATCCAGATTTGCAAAATAATGTTTGATTTCTTGTTTTGTTTCTTTTACAAAAATGAATTGCATCTTAGTTTAAACTTCACCCTCAGCTGATTAACAATGTTGAAGTCATATTATATCAATGCTTTGTAGTCCTATACATGCTTTCCATCTCACAGCACTAGATCTAGTCTGGAAGGTTGCCTGTCAAAAGTATGATCTCTTGGAAAACATGAGGGGAAAAAAAGGAACAGTTGACATGAGCTGGGTTAATAAGTAGCTTTCGTGCCACTTCTTGGAGGCTCTCTGTATTTAATCTGCGACTAACAGTACTCCCTTTTATCAAGATAAGACTGTGTATCAGATCAGTTTAGAAGGCATTGTTTCCCTATAATGTGAATGCAATAGCAGATATAAACTTAATATCTAGGGGTGCTGAATCCCACAAGTTCAGTCTGAATTTCAAAGTCTGTCTTCAAGTTACACATGAAAACCAAAGCAGTCTGAAAAATGAATCAGAAAACCCTTCCCTGTTGAAGTTCTGGGAGACTTTCAGTGCTTCAGCCGGATGAATGTGCCATCACATATGCATAAACATGGTCATCACACACACATAAATGTGTTCATCACATACACATAAATATAGTTCAGCAGAGGCTGCCATATGCATGCTTTTGTGCAAGCAGCTTCAAAGCATATCAGGATAGTAGATTCAAACTACATATTACATTAAAAAGGCCTTTACGTAACAGATTAATTGACTTGAGTCCACAAGAATTGCCCTGTCATACAGACAAGTATTCTTCTGCCATTTAAAACTCTGCTAGGATCACACACTTGCCTTCCCACTTCCTCTCTCTTTGTGGTGCTATGTCTTCTTTTTAGTGATCCTGACTGATGTCATCTGATTACTCTCCTTTTTGACTTTCCCTTGCTCCCAGCTAACACCCCTGCAACCCTCAGTCATGCTCCTCAGCTCCCTGATCCTGTCATTTGTCCTTTCTCTGACCCATCCTCCTCCAGCCTGCTGCATCTGCATAATCCTTTTCCCACTAAAACTTCTAGCAACGCTAAAATAAATTGCCTACCCCTTGCCTCCACAATCTTCTCCCTTGGCTGGTGATGTTAAGGCATCCTCCAGCCTGATTCAGGGCTGGGGAAACAGCATATTCAGTTGCTTCTCCTTCTGCAACTTCTGTTTCACATTCCTCTTTCCACCCAGGCATTGTACAGGGCTCTATCTGCAAGCAGAGATGTCAGTCATCGTACAAGGTGTTGGGAGAGAGTTGATTACAAAAACTGAATTTTGGGAGTTTACTACTTACCTATGAAGCATCAAGCTTGTTTAAGTTGTTATCCTTTACCCAGTGTGCTGAGTTTGGTGATGGAAAGTTGGCAGCTCTGGGCTTCTCTTTTTGCTCTTCCTCTGAACCACTGCACAAGATCTTTTTGAAGATTCATGATCTGGTTCTTGAATATCACTTTGCAGTCCTGAATACACTGACCCCCTACTAGGGATTGCTACCTTTTCCTTGCTAGCTGAGTCAGGCACAACTGTGCTCAAAAACCAAAGCATACCTTGGCAAGGACACACTTTTTCCACTGGCAGGACACTTGATTAGCCTTGTAATCAAGATACAAGTGTTGATCATTAGCACTGATTAACTCATTGGTCATTCTGCTTCTCCTGGGTATTTGACTGTAACTAATTACATTGGTGTCTTCTTTTTTCAGCATTTTTCTGAAAGAACTAGAGAAATACGAACAACTGCCTGAGGATGTGGGCCACTGCTTTGTCACCTGGGTAATGAGGCTTCTTCTTTTCATTATTTATTCAAATTAATTCCTCCAGCACAGACAGAAACAAGCTGGGAATTGGTGCAAAGGTTATATCCTTAGTGATAAGTAAGATTAGGAGCTAATCTGGAACTATGACTGCTTTGTCCTTCACCTCTCCCAGGGTGAAAGGTTCCCTCCCTTAAGTCTTCTCCTGAGCAGCGGTGTGAAGGCTTTCCAGAGCCTCTCTCCTTGTCCCGCACTGACCAGCACAGCTTTTGCCTCCACTGGTTCCTGTTTAACAGGACTTCATCAAACCAAACCTGTATTTAGTGTTGACATTCATTTCTTTGTGAAGGGCTCTGGGAGGACAGACATTTAAAATCTTAATATGCCCTCCTTAGAGAATTTTAGTCGTGCCATGAGACCTCTACGAAGGTATAAACAACATATTTTATCACCATTTTTCTTCAGAAATTAGTGTCAAATTGCTGACCCCCTGTGCTCTCTCATTCCATTACCCAATGCCAGGATAATATCCAAAGGACTTTGGAAACTTGATGCTAAGAGCCTTCATGGGCATAGGAGGCTCCAGGAATTGGCTACAGTACTTCATCTGTATGAAAGCTGTTCTCTTTTCAAAATATTTACCACACAAGTCAGCCATCGCCATGTTTTCTCTGACGGTTTTATTAATATTTTAAAGCTGGGAATTAGTATTTTAAAAGTCATTATGGAACATTTTCACTTACCAAAATAATGAGCAAGTTTGGATGATTTCAAATGGGTTTTTAATTTAAAAACATGACATAAATATTGATGAAATGGATTCAGAAATATTGTTTACAAAGAAGAGGTTACATATTTATCAAAGATGGACACATTTACATACTGTTCTGTGCAAAATCTTCATGATACTTTTAAGATACTACCATATCTTCTCAGGAATAGTACATGTCCAGTACATAACCTGTGTGTATGGTTACAGACATACATAAAAAGCTGCCTGCCCAATTGCAGGGTTCTGTTATTTAGATACCTGGTATAAAAAATGCAATAGTAATAAAAGGAGGCCATCCTTCTCTCCTGTTTGCCTGCCTCTCCCTGAGAACAGACTTCAGTAATATGAAACTGCTCTAAGGCAGGAGTGCACAGATGCTTTTAATTTCCTCTTAAAAATAAATAAATTAGGAAATAAAATGCAAAACAGTCCTAGCACAACATAAAGTTTGAGCCATTAAAGTCTGAACCCAGGTAGGAAAGGCAAGTTTGGGCCAGGCGTCACAAATCTGAGCCAGTCTCAAGTCAAAAATGTTGGCTTGAGCCAGTTTAAGCTAGGTGAGTCTTTTGCCCAGAGCTTCTACCCTGGCTTTATCTGAAAGTAGGTGATAGAGCCAATGTTTCATGACTGGGTTTTGAGACCTGCAGACTTTTGGATACAATCTGCATAACATCATTAGAGCTCTTAGAAATTATTTTACAGCTGGATTAAAGTTTTAATCCTTCCCTCTGTGACGGTTGTTAAAGAAAGCCTCCCATAGCTGTTACACAGTGCACCTCATTCCCCTCAGAACTGCCCAGGTAAGGTATGAACTGTCTGTAAGTCTTCTGTTCTTAATTTGCAATTCTTATGTTGATTTGAGAGGTGGGCGTTTATCACCTGTATTTATCCTGGTGAGCCTTAATGAAAGACTATGCAAGCAGAAAAATAGCTTATCTTGCTTTTCCCTTGATGTTTGTTTTCACAGGCAGATAAATTTCAGATGTACGTCACCTACTGCAAAAACAAGCCTGATTCCAGCCAGCTCATCCTGGAACATGCAGGGACATTCTTTGATGTAAGCAGCCATTGCCATTTTCCTTCAGCACGCATAGTGCAGCTGAAACACCTCCTCTTCACTTCTGATCAACGGGTTCCTTTTTTGCTTTGGCATTTGGATTTTTCATTCCACTGCAGATATAACATGCTGTGAAAATTGATCATGGAGACACACATTCTTATGGGAACCTTTGTGCATTTTTCAGACCCAATCCTTTCTAAAGATCTGGTTTAGATGTACTCTTTACTTCTGCATTTAGCGGTAAAATGAAAAGCAGATCCCATCATATTTTATGACCTGAAATCCCTAAGTCCAAAACAAGACCCTGTTCTCCTGTTCTGCAAATTTTACCCACCATATTAGACATTTGCTTCATCATGCTAGTAAGGGACTCCATTGACTGCAATTAGACAATTTCCTTTACAAGCACTACACCTGGTGATAAACATTTGCAGGCTCCAAACCCAGTTTTGTAGGCTGAGAAAAATCTTTAAATTTTTTGAGTACATTTAAACTAAGCTTTCCCTCTGATTCTTGGAACCTCATCCATTTTGCCATGCTTGTCTGCTGGCTTATAGCTTTAATTAGTTGCCTTTCTGAAAAAATGCTAAGACCTCTTTTCTAAAGCATTGAAAATCTTTTTACAAATCTAACCACTTAGCAGAATCCAGCCTGCCTGACGTGAATCACCTTCTCTGGGTTTCGTATGTGCCAATGATTATAGCGTTTCAGTTAAACTCCACACTGAAAGATCTCACATGAGCCAGAAGAAAAATGATAAACACCTTTATCTTTTGCCTTGTTACCAAATGGTCTAGAAGTAGACTTGAACTGAAAGGGATTTTCCAGGAGGTGGCGCTTGAGCCTGTTGAATGGTTTGGATTGGTTGGTGACTCGTGAAGGGTTTGAGCCGCCTTAAGGTGTCTGTCAGTGTTGCTTGCACAGGTTAAAAGTGTTTCCTCTGCTAAGCTTTTCTGCTCCAGCTCTGTGTACAGGCTAGAAACCTGCTTGATGTTGCTTAATAGAGAATATTCATGTGTCAGCATCTGCTGTTTTGCAAGGGGAGATGTTTTCCTTCTATTGGTGGGAATTGTGGTGGGCTACCCAGTGATGCCCGTGCAAAAAGAGAAAGCTGGCTATCCCCCCACAAAAATCCTCTAGGAGTCACTCAGTCTGACTAAGGTAGTCAGTACCTGTAGATCCTTCTTATCTTGATCTTGGAGTGGCAGTGGTTAAGTGGCAGGACAGGAGACAGTCTGGCCCCAGGAATACCGAGAAAATGGCTGGTTCTTTTCTTCCAGGAAGAACCTGGAATTTCCCTGGTGATGAGAGTGAGTTATCTAGAATAACACTCCTTAGTAAGAAGCCTGCTTGAAAATCACAGGTGTACAATGCCTTAAATTGCATAAACTGTCATAGAAAGCCACCTTTGAGATGGAAACAAGTAGTCCCAGTAATGTCTAAACCCTTTAAATCCATGGAAAAATTGCAGCTTCAGGGCTCATTGCAAGGGATTCAGCTGGTGGAAATCAGCGTATTATTGAGGTGATAGAGTTGATTTTAGTGTCTGTTGTTTAAGTGAGCTTTGGTCCTCAGGACAAGGATAGATTTTGGTTCAGTCAACTATATGTTTCTGCTGTTTTGAATATTTTTTTCCTTTAAATCTTGGGAAAGATCAGTTGTTATATTCAAGAAGCCACAGGGCACCTTTAATTTGCATGACCAGCATTTACGGAGTGGAACATGGTAAAGCTCATTGACTCTGGTAGCATTGCAGAGCCTTGTGTTTCTGTGTGGGTGACGGTTCTCGGATAGTTTCTCCGCTGAGCTAGTGTCGCTTAGGAAATGGGCAGAGGTGCAAGAAGGGTCTCAGTTTCTCCTTAGTAATATTTTTTCTGAAATTGCTTACCAAAGATTTATGTCATACATTACAAAAACTAAATGTTTCATGATGTTTTTAGTGCTGAATCAGTCTACTCTGCAAGCCATTGGTCTGTACACCCAGTTCAGGATGCAGTTTGTGCTCCTACTAAACAACTATACACAATTAGATGACTTAGCTTAATTTTTTAATCTCTCTTGATTTGATATAAAATCTGGGCACTTTATCACTGCTTCATGGTAAATTCAGAAATTCTTATGGTATGAAATTGGATTCAAGTATTCCTGTCTCCATGCTGTCCATGGAGTCCTGTGAGTGTCCTGTGCTGCCCTACGCAGAGGATATTTTTGGTGTTTTTCTGGGATTCTGTCATGGCATGTAAGACTACACGTTGATCTTGTTTGGCAGCTCATCTGGTTTGCAACACACAACTGCCAGCACGTGGTGCCTGTCAGATACCTTAATTTCTTCCAGGTCCTTGGGACACTTTTCCACCCAAGGAATAACTAAAGTTGTGTCTAATAGTGAGCCATGGTGCACTATAACATGAACCGAGCTTGCTTTAAACAAAAAGCAGGGCAAAGTAGAGAGCACAGAGCCCTGTGGCTAGCTTGCTTCTGAAACCTGCCAGGTGCTTTAAAGCTATCTCAGATATCTCTCTGCTTCATGTTACTAAGAGGTGTGGGAGAAATGTCTGCACTACCATGCTCTGCCCTGCACAGACCTCTCCAATTTCTACCTCCACCCACAGTAAGTTCAGACCTCTCCAGCAGTTACAAAGCCAACCCAAGACACGCTGCTGCAGCCTGCCATCTTACTCCAACACTTCAGAGACCAGAAGGAGGAGCTGCAAGGATAAGGTCCCTTTCCAGCAGTGTATTTGTCTGATTGCCGTGTAGCAGTGCTGTTGCTTCCCTGTTGCAGGTTCCTGTGCAGCAGGGACAGCTGTCACTCCACCAACCCACTCTGTCTCCACACAGTCTGACCGGGGAGCATTCTGGCAGAACAAGGACTGCCTGAAGGGGAGGCATCTTGCTGGGAGCATGCCCTGCTATTCAGAGAGCTGGGAGGAAGGAATACTGCTAAATTCATTACTTGGATCCTACAAAAACAAGTGTACTTAGCCAGCTCCAGGAAGTTCACAGACGTGGCCGAGGTCTTGCTGGCTCCTGCAGTTACTAATTGAGTCCCAGCCATGTGCTCTGCAGACGCTGTCCCTGTTCAGAGCCAGCCATGACTCAGCTTCATGCAAACTCCATTAACCCCCACACAGAGCCCCTTCCCTTTTGGGTCTTGTTCATGGCACCACAGATTTTTTATTTTATTTTTTTTTTTTAAATAAACTTGGCTAGTTAAAAAAAAAAAAAAATCTGTTGGCACATTGTGTGAAAAGTGGCTATTTTAGATCCCAGCACAAAGATAAACACAGGAGCTAAAAAAACCAGTAACCTCCCCAGTACTCAGCAGAAAATCAGACTGTATACAGAAAGAAAATCTCCATTCTTGGCAGCCCTTCCCCCTTCATCTTCTGTAACTTCTTCCCTTTACAGCCTCAGATTTACCCTCCAGGAGCTGGAGATAAGTCCCATTCCCCCTTTCTGTCTGCTCCCTTAAGAACGGAGGATTTCCTGATGGCCAGGAGCAAGGGGAGGCATGCCCAGGGCCTGGCAGAGCCAGAAGGAATTCCAACCTGTTCTGTTTCAGCAGAGAATCTGCCCCTGTAGGGCATGAGTTTGAAGTCTCTTAGATGGCTAAATATGTGCATTAGGGTCCAGTAGGATTTTTGGGAGCTCCTAACTCCCACTGGAACCAGTTGGAGGGAGGCAGCTGTGCCCTTTGCAGACCTCATCAGGAGCCAATCTGCAATGTCTCCAGAAGTTCACATCACACTGAAGAGCACAGACATTTTTGTTGAGATTCAGGTGACAAACCAAAAGTATTCAGTGCTGTAAAAGGTATCGTAAGGGTATCTCTTCTGGCCCCCAGCTGCCTCCTCAGAATAGCATATGTCTGTCAGCACTGTGTCAGACCTGTTACTCCCATGTGGATATTTCAACTACCCCAGAGCTCTCAAAAGGTACTAGATGCTTATGCTTAGACAGCTAAATTACACCCTACGCATGCAATTTAATTTAATGTCACTCCTTTTTAATTGAATGTTAAGACTCTGCTTTCAGCCTTCATAGCTAGGAGAAACCAGCTGACATGACAGATAAGTCATATTTAAGTCAAGGCCTATGTAGTTTACTCAACATAGCCTTAGCTTGACTTGCATAGGGCCCCTGCAGTTTAAGTGGCCTTAGGGGGACTGCAGTTTACTGCCAGCCTCTCTGAAACCATGGTTACTTGCACGTGAGCTTAAAGTGAGTTTAAAAACTAAACAGAGAAATGCAGAGATCCAGAGCTAAAATTAGTTATGGGTGGTTCTGTCTGCAAGGGGGTTAATAGTTTTCCATGACTGACTGCTGTTTTTATCTCTTCTAGGAAATTCAGCAAAGACACGGTCTGGCCAACTCTATCTCTTCTTATTTAATCAAGCCTGTCCAGAGGATCACAAAATACCAGCTCCTACTGAAGGTACCTTAGTGAGCTGTCCAAATCAGTTCATGCAGAGCAGTTTCCAGGTGTGATGAACTTATTCTTAAGGGAGCTGCTTCATCACCTGTTCATGACCTGTAAGCAGCTACTGCTGAGCTGCTACTCTTACTTCCGAGGCCTGAGCATGGCAACAAAGTGTGAAATCAGGTTGAGTGTTTTAAAGGAAAAGACTCACAGAAAGAAAAAAAAACAAACAGTAAAAAACTGATCACCTGTTTCAACCGGGGTTTTTTGTATCAAAGTGGACTTAACCCTAAAAAATTAGAACTGGGAAAGGGAAATTGAAGGGATGACAGAACTGTTTACTTTCCTTCTTGCTAAGTTTGTGACATAATAATTTGATTAAAGGCTTCAATGACAGCAATAATGAACTTTGAGAAATTTCACTGACTCTTGACTGAGATTCCTTCACTGGTGTTAGCTTCTGTTTGGGAGCTGACACTTTTGTGTTTGACAAACATGGAAAAGCTTGATATACAAAGCAAAGGACTTCCAAGTGAAACATTAAAATTTCCCATGAAAAAAACCAAAAACACCTTTGTTGGTATGTTGTAAACTGGTTACAGGTTTTTGCAGTATCTTGGGAGCAGGTGAATTTCAGATGTCATTTAACTAGCCACTGTTCAATTCAAAACTAGTAAACCAGAGAAGAAAAAAATATCTGGGGGATAAGGGAAGAGACAGATTCTGGCTTTGACAAGCTAGGAGTAGATACAATACTAGCATCTCTTTAAAGCTTCCTGTATATATACCAGAGGAGTGATATGGTGTACTAGGAAAGTACTTACTGAGTACATTCAATGTGTTGACAAATCTGTGCTTTGTACCAGTTTACTGAAACAACACAAAGGTTTACCATAGTCTTGTGAGTGCTGTGGGACAGCGAGCCTGCACTGCATAAACCATCTGCTAATGGGAAGGCTAAAACACCCCTTCCAGTCATCACCCCTTTGGTCTCTTCCTCAAGTGAATCTTTCCTGAAGGGACCTCCCTGCCCTGGGCACAGCACACTGCCAGCCCTGCCTGCACTGCGGTACTCACCAGTGCTGCTGTATCAGGCAGGGGTCCCTGCAACCTGGCTGGCACAGCTGGACTGATCAATGTCTGCTGCACAGGCATAAGTCCCCAGAAATCTTCTGACTGTGCAGTCTCACTCAAGAGCTCCTTGTTTTGTCTTGCTTTATAGTCATTCCCATTTGATCCTCACTATCTGTGAGCAGATGTGAACTGCTGATGTGGTTCAGCTTTCTCCTGTCACAGTTAGCAAAGCAGTTGCATGTACCAAGTAACACAATTGGATATAAAGCCAGCATGTTGGGCAGAGTTTGTTTATAGGTGTTCTGCATTGCTTCTTAGGAACTGCTAACCTGCTGCGAGGAGGGCAAAGGGGAACTCAAAGATGGTCTGGAAGTGATGCTCAGTGTCCCAAAGAAGGCCAACGACGCAATGCACGTCAGCATGCTGGAAGGTAGCGGATGGGCAGGTGGCCGGGCAGGGGAGGGACCTGCTGATAAATGAAGCCTTCTTGTAACTTGTGTAAGAAGTTAGTACAGGTTGACTGTAGCAATACCGTTGATTGGTCATAATTTTCAGGTACTTCCTAGCTCCTTTCTGATATTTGTCCAAAAGTCTTGGAAGAATAAAGCTGGCTAGGAAGTTTTGGGGCTTAATTTATTTATATCCTATGTGTATGTAAATATATGTATTTATATGTGTACATGTATGTACATACACGTGTGTGTGTATACATATACAATGTATATATATATTTGGTTAACACCTTCTTACTTAATGAAACAAAAAAAGCCCTCCTGAAACAGTATCAGTTTAGCTGCTGGCAGCCGTAAAGGTTATTGGATGAAAACATTTCTAAATACTGTCTCAACATTTCAAAAGAAAAAGTCCTGGTTTTCTGAGTCAAAACAGCTTGTGTTTCAAAATGTTAATATAATTATCCCAAAGATTAAAAAAAAAAAAAAGAAAAAAGTATTATTAAAAAGTATTACAAAATTACAGAAAAATATATTTTGATTGTCCCAAAGTTAACTCTTTTATTGGCTTTTTGATGTGTGGAGTATTTTTAAAATTTAAAAATATTGTGGACAGAGGTGCTTTATTGTCTCTCAAACATTTTCTTGGCCTGGGAAAATAATTTCCAGCCTGGTTTGAGTCAGAACCAGGAAACAAGAAGAGTACTAAAACAGGCAAGAAAAAGGAAGCGGCGCCGGTAGTTAAGCAGCACATTAAGACCAGGTGATTAAAACTGCAGGGGGTTAAACTGACCCAGCATAGGTAGAAACACTATAAAGATGGTTTTAACTGTGGTGTCTGGTGAAAAGCAAGGTTTCCCAAAATAACGCCTGGATAGTCTGTCTCCATGAGATGACCAGCACCACACAGTTATGTGTGGAGGGAGTCTTGTGATCTTCAGCTATGTGAAGGTTTTTGCCATGCAGCTTGGAAGATGAGAAACTCCTCCTGGAAGCTTGTTTCAGACACCATGCCAATTCGATCTCACAGATGTAGCTCCCCCATGCCACTGCTGTGGACTCACAGGCCCTTGAAGGTTGGGTTAGCATGCTTGAAGGCATCATGGTATGATGGGGTACTTCCAGCTACCACAGGTTATGTTTCTCTGAATTTGTGCTGACATGCATAACATTCCTTGTATTGCAGTTCTGTGTACAGTAACCACCACTGAAACCTTTATAATATTTAAGTAATTACTACTATACTTCAACAGCAGTCTCATTTCTCACATATGACGTATTCGCCTCTGGTGAAATAATTATATCATTGCAGTAGGAACAAAAAAAAGAAAAATATTTTCACTGGGGCAATGGATGCTCATTAATATCCTTTCAGAATACGCACAAAAAAAAAGAGAAAGACTCTGTTATTTCAAGTCCTTACTGCTCTGGTGTTCCTGGGCACTACTGGTCCCAAGAACAAATACAAGCTAATGTATTTTGTGGTTTTAGGGTTTGATGAGAACCTGGACGTCCAGGGAGAGCTGATTCTTCAGGATTCCTTCCAAGTGTGGGATCCCAAGTCTCTCATTCGGAAAGGCCGTGAGAGGCATTTGTTTCTCTTTGAAATCTCTTTGGTGTTTAGCAAAGAGATCAAAGATTCTTCAGGACACACAAAATATGTTTACAAGAACAAGTTACTGGTAGGTGTGGCTACAAAGAAAATATTCTGGGTGTTGTGTTTCTTGTAGGTAGAAGTGGAGTTTGGGGGATGGCTTACATGTCTCCATGCTGGGTTGGGAATACTCATGCTACCTGGAAGTGCTGGCTCTGGGCCCTGCAGGGCTCACCTGGAAGCGAAGCTTGCAGTGAGTCGTGAGAGGTTTGAGATAGTGAGATGTGAAGGGTGGGTGGGAAATGCAAGGAGGATCAGTCAAGCTATGCACTTCCCTGCCATAGCCTGGTGGTTTTCCTTTTCTTTTATCTGTGTGTAGCAAAGCAGAGACAAGATTTCACTCCCCTATCCATCCCTGCCTCCCCACTTCTCCCTATAAATGTAGAGTTTTCTGGACTCATGAGGCTTCATGTATATGAAATTTCTCATCATCTTTCCTCCACACTAGACCTCAGAACTTGGAGTGACTGAACATGTTGAAGGAGATCCCTGTAAATTTGCTTTGTGGTCTGGACGAACACCATCCTCAGACAATAAAACGGTGCTGAAAGTAAGTCTTTTCTGCTTGTTTTCTTTGCCTTTAGAACTGCTAGTTGAGGCTTTGGGAGCACTAAATGAAAGGTCAGTTTCTTCCCTCCTTGTACTCGCATGGCTTCCATGTCTGTCAGCAGGGTCATGCCTGCATCAGGAGCAATTCAGCTCAGTATGAATCAAGACAGTGCAGGTGTGCAGCCTTGCTGAAATTGCATCTCCTCTTGCAACCTGGGTTGAGCAGCTGCACACTGACACAGGGCACGTCTCAGGGTGTTTGGCTGGGAGGTGTAATTCTCTTAGTCCTTTGCCGACGGCTTATCGACAATCAACCTGTTCCTCAGGCCTGCAGAGCTGACAGCCATTCCTGTCAAGTGAGTTTCTAATGAAGAATTCGTATTATAGTTATTTTGTCTGAGGAAATCCCAGCTGTGCACTGATAACCTATTTCTCCTCCATAGAGCATGCTGTATTGCTAGCATTAAATATATTTATCCAGAGCTTAGCTGCTTTACTGTTGCTTGCCACACAGGTCTGGTAAAGTACCTCAGTTCTCCTGGGGTTACCAGGTACTCTGGCAGCTAAAGCAGTACAGCAGAGAGGAGAAACAGTTAATCATGCATTTTCATCAGCCAACCGTGATTCTTCTACATAGGAGGTGACATGCTGGGAATATGATAAAGTGTCTGTCTTTCTGCCTTGTGGAACTTTAGGCATCCAGTATTGAAACAAAACAGGAATGGATCAAAAATATCCGGGAAGTCATTCAAGAAAGGATTATCCATCTGAAAGGAGCTCTGAAAGAGCCCATTCAGCTCCCCAAGACACCAGCAAAGCAGCGAAACAACAGTAAAAGGTAACCTCAGTCATTCTATACGCTAGTGAAATCACCAGCGTTTTCTCGACCAACAGCAGTGTGGCTTTTTACTGGATTCACTTACTTTTTCTTACTATAGTCAAAAGCAGTTTTTGTCATCTTTGTTTTTTACATGTTGTCTTGGCAAAAGTAGCTAGAAAGCTTTTCTGTGATATACATACAACAGTCTTTTATTTTAGTACTCCAAAGTATTGGGGAGAAATCAACAGTAAAAATTCTTCAGAGTCCAAAGTTATGTTTCTTTCCTGAAGTAGAATTTACTTCTTCACATTTGAGTATTAACAGATTTTTTTTCCTCTGGCATTTTGAATTGTTTGACATTTTTTTTCTTTGTCCTTAAATATGTATTTTGTATTATTTAAATGTTTATTTTGAAAGACCAGTAAAAATTTAGGAGAACTGTATCTGTACAGCAAAAGGGAAGAAAATACCTTCTCTTAGCAGACTCATAGAGGTTGACTTATAGAGCTCTACACTGTCCCTATTTATGTTTGTTTGGATATCATTTTTATGGCTTGGTATTAAATCCCTGAAAATGTGGTTCCTATGAGACAAGAGAAATGCCCCTTCCTCCAGTGTCACATGTAGCCTGGGCTGAATGGTTTTGGTTAAGGCAGAAATCTAACTGAAGGAAAATTTCTGCCTGACACCCGCATTACAGAGCTATTTCTGAACACCAGAGTCCTCCTATGCTGTAAATACGCAGGCAATGGCCATCCTGTTTCCAGCAACAAACGTTGTGATTATGTGCTAATCCCAACCCTAAGGCTGAGGGTGACATCATTTTAAATTGCAAGCTACATAGTAACATGGGCTGCATCAGTGAGGTAATTTTAGCACAAAGACAGCTCTGGCACGCTGACTCAGCACTTTCCAAATCCACCTATAAAATTGTGCACATTCCAAGGTGGTGTGTTAAGTAAGCATCATTGTTTCCCTATTATGTCTTTTGCAGAGATGGAGTAGATGACGCAGACAGCCAAGGAGATGGCAGTAGTCAACCTGACACCATTTCCATTGCATCCAGGACATCACAGAACACAGTGGACAGCGATAAGGTAGGACTGAAATGTGAAAAGACACTGCAGTTAATCGTCCCCAGAAAAATGTAAGTGAAGAGCAGAATAGAAGGCATAATAAAGCAACTTGTCTTCTACTGAGTTGAAACTTGTATTCCCCTATGCTAGGCTATTAAAATCCAGTCCGTTTCTAGGTGCTCATCAGTACTGCTGTTTTACATGGTAACATCTCTGTTGCTGCAACTTCTTTGTAGTTAATACACAGAGGTTGAACTGGCTCTGAAGAAATACAGCCCAGAACAACCTTTTCTTCCCTAGTAGAATGTGCCCTGTGGGACCAGCTTCTGAATAGGAAAATAGTTGGTTATGTTCTATATTTGCTCTCTGAGCTAAAATCACTAGTTTGTTGGAGGGAATTCAGGTGCTTACACACCAATTAATACAGCAAAATTGGAATCCTGGCTGGTATCTTGAGAGCCTGGGAGACCTACCCTTTCCAGAGACTGTGATTCTGGACCCCACTCCTCACGGACACATGGTGGAGCATATGGATGGCCCCAAGATGCGCTAGATTCAGTTGGAATGCTGCATGCTGTCGGCACGTATGTACTCATCGCTTTAATTATCAGATGATCTGAGTCCAGATTCCTAGCTCCACTAGGATGCCTGACTTGAATTTGTCACCCTGATACCTCCAACTGTGGTCTTTAGCTGAATTAGCAGTTGGTGGTAGGAGTAAATGGGCTGTTAGTAACAATTTACCTTAGCTATGCTGATGGGGTTTGTCATATACACTGAGAGAATGTCCATATTCTCTTTGTGTGTTGTTTTGAAACCATCTGTAACTTGCAAAAGGATGACTTCTGCAGAATTCTGGATTTATCTGTTTTTCAGGGCTTTAATTATGCTGCCACTTACACAAAGTAGAAGGGTGTCTTCACAAAATCAGAATTCAAGTTTATGGCTGTAAAGTTCACAAGTAAGGTTCAGTGCAGAGGTTATTTTGAAAGCTGGACTCAGAAATAGGAGTTAATTGCAAATAAATTACCTTTGTAAGACCACCTGTTGCATTTATCTTAAAAGCATGTCCCAACGCTTTTGCTTTTTTTGACCAATAATGTGCATTAGAAAAGTATTAACCCTCACAGTCCAAAGGCCACTGTAATGTATGCAAATACTTTGCCCGATGCCAAAGAAGTGCTTAAGTCTTCAGCCTACATGGACTCATCCTGCTTTTCCATGTTTCCACTTTTATCACTCCTGAGGAAGGCCCTGACTCAGTAGAGTACTTGAGCTCATGCTTAATTTTAAGCGTTTGCATAAGCTTTGCTTGTTTGCCCCAAGCCCATTGATGAAGTTGCATGAATTATGGTAGACAAGCAAGGTCTAGGTAAGATGTTCCATATTGCATGCTGTAGCTGCATATAAGATCTATAGTGCCAACAACACACTAAAAGATCAGGCTGTACCCTGAAAGACAGCCTGTCATGGCAACAGTTGGTTTAAGGATGCAAGACTGGAAAGGGTTGTAGGAATTTCTATCCAAAACCTGGTTTGAACTGAATGGCAGATGTGTATGAGATAAATAGAGCACCAAATCGTACAGGGGAAAAACTGTTACTACTGGGGAAAGGCTAAATCAGTTCTAGGGTTGTGTCATGTTTTTTACTTTTTTTAAGGTGGGTAGGTTCACTTGCCAACTTAAGCCTATCTGTGTGCTCGTGTGTCCTTATACACATTTACTGAATAGAAACAAATTCCAGTATACAGCTAAAGATTAAATATATTTGTATGTTCTTTGTTGAATCTGAGCAACTAGTGTATCATCCTTAGATAGAGGCAGCTCCTGCTAAACACTTTCGTTATTGTCACTGATGCTAATGCCAGAATACTATAGAGAATTCACCCTCCAGAGTGCTGCATTACTGTGTCTTTGCTCCAAGGAAAATGAACTCCCCACATCACTTTATACCTCTCTCTCAGTTTTTCTACACAATGTTACCCAAATTAATGACAGATGGAGCTGAGTTATCATACTTGCTGTTGAAGCAGCATGGAGGCACACCTGTGTTCAGTCTCAGTTCAGACATCGGTTCTTATGCTGCTTGCACGAAGCCCTTAGCATGTTGTCCTGGTTTCACCTGGGATAGAGTTAATTTTCTTCCTAGTAGCTGGCATACTGCTGTGGTTTAGATTTAGTATGAGAATAATGCTGATAACACACTGATGTTTTAGTTGTTGCTAAGTACTGCTTATGCTAGTCAAGGACTTTTCAGCTTCCCAGGCTCTGCCAGGTGCACAAGAAACTGGGAGTGGGAGGCACAGCCAGAATAGTTGATCCAAACTGACCAAAGGGCTGTTCCATACCCTATGGCATCATGCTCAGTACAGAAACTGGGGGGAGGTGGCTGGGGAGCAGCAATCACTGCTTGGGAACTGGCTGGGTATCAGTTGGCAGGTGG